GTTGTTCAGACGACCGGACCATCTGCGTCGCAACTACAAGCGGCGTAAGTAAACGTTTTTGCAACCATTAAACCTTGTCTGCCTCTCCATTCACCAGCCCGCCCTAACGAACGAGCAATTTCTAAATCACCTCAAGTCGGCTCTGGCTGTCCGAGACAGACAGCACTGCAATACATTAATGCATAGGAACTGCAAAACCGTTTTACAGACCTCTCCTAGTTAACAATGAAAAAAAACCTCATCTTGGTATACAATATTCAGGCCACATAGTTGAGTTTAAAATCTACTGTTTCTTTTCTAAGTCTTAATCTTATTATAGATTGAACTTAGTTTCCTTTTGGAAGTTATCTCAGTAATGGAAAGCCTGTGAGGTATCACAGCCTTTTACTGCATGTGAAGCAAGAATTCAGCAGTGAGCAGGGATAAAAATGACTGTGCCCGATGCAGGGAATACACATTCAGTATCAAATACTGGTGTGTGCATGGATCCTTCATGCCTTGTGCATAAAGATCTGGTGGGCACTGAGCAACCCATTTTAAAGTTATCCTTGTTTTCTTGTCCTAACATGCCCATTGTCAACAATCACCACAAGCCAGTCTCGCTTTGTCCAGCTAGGATTGAGCACCTTTTATGCACATAGAACTCCTTCTTTTTGTGCGCTAAGCATCATTTTCTTTCAAATTTCTCATTAAAACCCATTTATCTCCTGCAGCTTCTCAATCTGCCTTTCTAAGAATTAATAGCATGTTTTAAATATTTTTCTTAATGTACCACACTTTGTGTTCAAGTTTATTCTCTGTTCACATGGTGCATTTTGTATTCGGCTCATTTAGTTTTGTTCCTTGGGTCATTTCTTCTAGTATATCCTGTACAACAGCAATAATATTTGATGAGCCAATAAAGTAGCAAAACCGAGTTTAGCAATTGTTGGGCACATCTATATGTGCACTTTAATGTGCAGTAAAACACTGTGCGTGAAAGCATCAGGTCGAAAACCATGCTAATATGCTAATGTGCAGTAAAAATAGGCTACTGCACATTAAGCGCATTAAGCGTCCCTAAAAAGCATGCACTTTTAGGGCAATCTAATGCGCATTTATTTAGTACTTCACATTAGAGGTACTAAATTTAATGCGCAATAGTAAACATGCATAAATGAACATGTAGATGTGCCCATTAAGTCTCATCCAAGTTCTTTTGGGGTGAGCAGTTTTTGCCCCAAGAGATGTGTAGGGCTGACCTGCAAATAAACGAAGAAAAAAATTCTACACGGTGAGGAAAAGATTCTTTACCTATGACGGGCAGGAAGTTTGTTTGGCAAATGCTTTCTTGTGGTTAATTTAATTTTCAGGTGGCTTTATCTTCTTGCTTAAAACTATACAATGATTTAAAAAAAATAGTGCTCTCTCTGATAGTATAACTCAGTGGTTTTCAAACTTCCTAAAATCACAGAACCCTTTTATGTTGCTATTTCTGCCTCAGAATCTCTGCCCCTATCCTGTGAGATGACATGGAGCCAGGAAACCAGGCCCAGCAATGCTGGCATACCGCTTCCTGGCCTGCTCTGTCATTACTCCCAATCTCTTTGCAGAACCCCTAATGACTTGTTGTGGACCCCTAGGGTTTCACAGAAGGCAGCTTAAAAACCATTGGTATAACTGACTGGAGCGCATTGCAACAGCATGTCTAACTGGTGTTTCTCCTGTCCTCCACAGTTCTTGAGAAGGCAGCAAGTTCTTCAGTTATACAGAAGAATTCTGCGGGCTGTTCACGAGGTACCTAATGAAAATGATCGACACTATCTCAAGCAGTGGACAAGGGAAGAATTCAAAAGAAATAAAGATGCTACAGAAGAGGTGAGGAATAAACAGCAATCCCAAGCAGGTGCCCTTTTGACTCTTGGCAGCATACTCAGTGCTAAAGACTGTAGTTTGCAAGATGCTTTTATTTTATGAGAATCATGCCACGACTTCTATAAAACTGGGGTTTTGGAATCTGATTTTTTTCCTGTCATATTTACATACAAACCAATACAAATTGAATAGCGCCTCTCCGTTTATTTCTTGTCAAGTGTAACGTTCTTCTGACTTTTTAGCTGTGCAAATGGAAATTTGAAAAAAGACCTTCCTTGGAATAGAAAGCAGACAAAACTATTATTTCTAAAATTTAGTAGTGTGACAACTATAACAGTCTCACTTCCATTGGGGTTGTTTCTTTTTATCTGCTTTTAATTTTTAAATTAATATTTTGAATTCAAGTAAAACAAAGCCAAATGTAAATGGCTATCTGAATATAAGAAATACATATGGGGTAGGGAAGCCTTCATTTTTTTTCATGCAGCTCCGTTTCTCTGCTTGTCACCTATGCACATTTCCCTAGTCAGTACTGAGGAAGTAGTGGCTAGAATTAGGCCAAGTGATACAAAAATGTTAGGAAAGTGTCCAATGGTGGACACAGAAGAGCAGTCCCTGTTGCAGCTCAGAGTGGGTGTGTCTATGCTTGCCTCTTAAGTGGGCTTAACCTAAAATCGCCATTTTTTAAGGTGCATTAAGAGCATGTGTCTACATGTGCACGCTCTTAATGTGCCCTTAAAAATGGTGAATTAAGGCTATGTGAGCCTAAATTTGATCCCTGTATAAAGCAGGGATCAAATTTAGGTATGAATAGCTAAGTCGCATTAGCACATGTGTAGACGCGCTAATGTCATTAATGCAGTGATCCCCCCGACCCAGTCAAAGTTCATTGTTGGGCCCAGGTGGATTCCAGCTGCTTGCTGCCAGCCTGCAGCTTGGTCTCTGTAGCAACGCCACTCCCCACTCCCAACCGGAATACGGTTTTTAGAATGGGAGGGGGGGAAAGGGAGCAGAGGGAGCTCATTCTTGGGGTTCCCCAGTCAGGGTGGGAGGATGGGGTAGCTGGACTGGAGGGGCACCAATCCACCTGTCCTACCCTCCAGCTCTGGCTGAAAAAAGCCCAGACAGAACTCCCTCCACTCCCTTTCCCCCCTTCCATTCTGAAAACAGCAAGGGGCTGGGAGCTCCGCAGACACAGGTTACAGAACACGCTCTGTTTTGGAGCGTGTTCATCTGAACCATCGAGCAGTGAGGGTTCAGATTTTTGTGGAATTTGACCCTTTTAAAGTGGTCTGCATCCTTGCAGTTCTGTTTGGTCATGACTGTAGGCCACTTTCTGGGGCGAGATCAGGTGAAAATTATGACTTCCATCTGCGCCCCATGTTGTTTACCTCTGGAAACATCTTTACAATGTCTATTTGCTGTTCTTACCACTCATACACAAAAGCGTTTGGACTTGCATAAAGAAAGTTCTCATTATTTTTCAAGTGAAAGAGCTTTTGCCATTTATTTTTACACCGTTTTAAACCAGGGCATCATTAAGAATGAAGAGTCCATAAATAGTTGCTCCATCTATTTTAACAATAAAAGTATTGTGCAATCTGTATTTCTCAGAGGCTGGATATTTTATTGCTTGCCGTTGCCTGCCTCAGAAAAATAAATGAGAGAGAACTGCAGAAGCTCTTGTGAAAATCTGTATATTGTAACAGGTTACAGAACATATGTTCAGTTCAGCAGATTCCATTTCTCTTTACAGGATACAATTAAGATGATGATAACTTATGGCAACATTCAACTTCAGGAGCTTAAGAAAACACTTCAGCTGGCAAAATCCTGACTTTATTTCACTGAGAACCAATGGACTTTATCCCAGTGAGAAATACAGCACTTAATGCACCAGTTGGTCAAGACAGCGGCCTTGTACTAAAATACTCGTAATGTTTAAAGATGGAATACAGTATAAAGGGTTTTTTTTCTTGCTTGCCTCTGTTACCCTGAATTTATGGCTATCACAAAAAATGACACACCGTATCTATTTAGATAACCAAGTATGGGGTCAAAAGGAGAAAAAAAGAAGTGCCAAAAAAAGGCAAAAATAAAAAATTAAGTTAATAATAAATTAAAGATAGGGGGTTTTTTGTTTTCTGTGTTAGCATTTCTTAAGCATTACAGTCTTTTAGGAATCTTTTCTGTAAGGTGTTCTTAAAAATAAGTAACCATTCAGGACATTGTTAATATTGATAGGTCTGCTGGTTGGTAGATGTTTTTATGACTGAAGGGTGTTTTTACGAAGCTACCTCTGCCAGCTTGGTAAAGTATTTCAATCAGGCTGAGTAGCCAGCCACTGACGGATGGGCATCTGGACTTGGAGCCTGGGGGCTGCAGCTTTAACCTCGGTGACTGCATACAAATTGCAGGCCACCAGTTGGAGAACCCTGTCCTAAACCATCTTGATGTTGCTTTTCACTTCTACCATTTACTCTAAGAAAAAGAAAGGTACGCTTTCAAAAGTGGCAATGAGCTCTTCAGGCACAGCCAAGATGCCATTCAGTTTTGTGTTCTGTATGAAGAAAATCTATGACAAATCAGCATTAGAAGTCAGAACCCTAATTACCATCTCTATTTAGACTACACCACCTCTTTTCCCTCCAGTTTACACATCCTATAGATTCACTGATGTTCAAATTAGCAAAAGTAAAAAACATGAAAATGGATTTCTTGGCAACATTTATGTTTAATTACTTGGCAAAAACATTCACTTTATTAAGGTACAAAAATTAGATAGCTGTTCCTCTGCATTCCTACATAGTTAAAACAACTGACTTAAAAATTGTAAACATACTAAAGTGACTAAATCTTTATTTTTGACTACTGAAGTCAAAGCAGTAAAACTAAAAATATCTCAATTACTACAGCTATACTGTACTTGTCTGGATAGTGCATTAATAAGAATTAAAAATACTGTAATATAATACAATTTTCTTTGCTTTATACACATATTAAAATGAAAAAAGTTGGATTTGTAAATAGTTCATGCTGTGTTAACATGTGACAGTATTGTCATGTTGATCTGAGTTTCCATTGTCAAGAGGTTGCCTCTATCTTTTTCCTTGGTAGGGTGCTGCGGTTTGAGAGAGCTGTTTCCGGGCTGTCAGTATCTATTAAATAACTTTGTCCCTGTTAATAGTATCTTGTGTGCCTCCTACCTGATGCAAGCAGGAAACCCAAGAGGGACTGCAGATGAAATTAGCTTTGGTATCTTATGGTTGTACAGGACCTAGTACAATGAGGGCCCAATGTAGTCAAGGACTTTAGATGCTACCACAATAGACTAAACAATGCTAAACAATAAGATAAATACAGGCAACTCCTGCTTAACGCTGTTTTGCTTCTCACTTTTTCACTATAATACTTGTTTTACATTGATACCCGATTCCACTTAGCAGCGAGTTTCATTATAACGCTCACAAGCATTTTGCAGCTGGCAGCAGGTTCTGCTTAATGCTCATTTTTTCAGGAACCAATTAAGCGCTAAGCGGGGGTTGCTTGTATTTCTGAGTAGCAAATCACAGAGGAGAACTTTGGGTACAACGTTCCAAGTTTTCCATTTTTTTAGGAAAGATACGTCCAAATGGCTCTGAGTCTTGTTTAAAAAGTTGGTTCTGTGAATCAGTTTACAGCTGTGTAATGATTAAGCCTGCTTATCTGTAGAATGAATTTTAATTTAGGAACTGTAGATATAGAAGATGTCTCTCTTTCCACATAAAGGGAACGAGGCAGAGCCGTCCCTGGAGGTGGGGAGCAAATTGGGGCAACTGCCCCAGGCCCTGTGCTTTGGGGGGGCCCCGTGTTCAGTGCCGCATAGATCCCGCTGTTGCTGCCATGCACTGCCAGCTCCGGCTGCTTGCCCCCCCCCATCCCCTGCTCCGGCCCCTTGGCAACCCCCGCCATCCCCACCTGCTCTGCCGGCTCTGGTTGCTCGCCACCCAGCCCAGGCCCCCCACAGGCTGATATGCTCTGGGCCCTGCACACCCCTAGGGACAGCTCTGGAACCAGGCCTGGGGGGTGAAGAGAAGATCAAAGAAACTAATGAATATGCTGAACAAGTT